AGAAGACTGGATGCAAAAGTTATTTGGAAGCCAGTGTTACTAGGTAAATAAGTTAAGATGTAACTTATTTATAAGATTCAGTCTATTTGTTTTGAAGTATGAAGATATCTTGACTAATCCTAAGTATTGATATACACATCAGCACTAGCAGTTTGTTGATACACCAACGACTGGGTTTTAGGAAGAAATTGTCCCGCGAGTGTCGCGTGATTKTGATCGTCTCGAATCCTATTAAACAAACAATGCACGTAAGGGAATGATCGAGGCATCTAACACGACCTATCTARCTGTGTATTATTTACAGAAAAATCCCTTTTGTCAAGTTGTCTTCACATAGCCATACTTTTTGTTAAACCATTTTAATGACATGACAACAAATGATTTGTGGAATATTTTCTCTCMTCAGGTGGACTCTACAAAGGCACCAAAGGAGACTCAGAATCTCCAATACTTGATCAAAGTGCTCCTGCAAAGTTGAAAATTATAGGACAAGGTTCTAATTATTAGATTGAATTATATTAAAGTATTTTTAATATCACCAAAATCTGGATTGTCAAGACACAATATTCRTACTCTCACTAGTATAAACAAGCACTGCTTTAAGAACTATTATTTAAGCTGAATGTTTCCTATTATTAGATCTTCAAAGAACAATGCATCGTAACAATGTAAAGTCCAACTCTCCATCACAATTCCCTAGAAATTCTTTGGATTGCATGAGACTTCTTGCAGCAGCAACCCAGTATTCAACATCTACATGCATAGACCTGACTCACAGGTTGTACAGGGATTTCTGGATCAATGATGCAGGTATTAACAACATACCAATAGTCTCCTTTGTATTTCACACACCAAAAGTAGCTATATGCTTATTTGCATCTTATATCAATGTGGCTGAAGATGACAGAATCCTTCTTTCACATTCTGGTGGGGCAGGGAACMRTGAMAGAGACTWKTSWYATATACATCATCTTCATGATCAAGATCATCACACAACACAAATATAAACCACATATGGTGATGATCAATGGACAGCAAGTAGTTTGTTTGAAGTTATGCCCATAAATTTGGGAATATATTTCCCAATAATATTGCACTTCCATGAAACATGAATTGCCRTTTATAGTTGTAGTACAACACTAAAATTCTCTATAATTTCATGAATTATTCTCACTATCTGAGCTAGACATTGCACAGCTTGATGTGTTAGAGAAAGCAGTATCGTCTGTTGGTTGGAAGGTTGATGTCAGTCAGGCAATCAATGGACGTGGAAAAGATGTACTCTGGGAAAATGTCAAGGAGGCACTGGACCGRGGAGCATTTGGTGTTCCAAGGTAGACCTCTACTTACCTTTGTTGTTTACCCATCCTTCAGACCATGTGGTCATGGTACTCTTGGTACCTGGGTTTCTTTTGTGTTAAGAAAAATTATTCTTGGAAGACAGCTCTTTAATACTCCAGTTTTAGGTTTTTAGGCAGCAACAAATTAGAACAAAACAGAGTAGTTAAGGGATTAAGGGAAAAGAGATTGGTTTTAAATGATCTTTATAATCCCATTGATTCCAGATACAGATTGCATGTAATATACAGACCTAAACCCAATGTTGTAAAGAGGTTTTGCAATTTTCTTTACCAGTTGGAATAAGAAATTWTTGCATTTGTCAGAGTTGATTACTTTGAATTTTGTTTTTAGTTTCTGGGTGAATGGTAAACTGTACTATGGAGTAGATCGTTTACATTTTCTTGAGAAGGAACTTGGTAATACTATGGCTGCTCCATTACGTCTTGCCTCTCCTTCACCATCGTCTCCACGTAAAGCCAAGTTGACCATATTTTATGATTTTGCAAGTCCTTGGGCATACATTGGCTCCACTCAGGTATGATGATGTATGMAAACAATGAGACCATCTAGAACATTACTGGTGTTTACGATTTTTAAATCTTGTATTTTWCCAYGAATTTTTATCCTTTTTCAGATTCCCAAATTACTTGCAAGTGTTTCACCAATTGAAGTTGAGGTAGAATGGGTTCCTATTTTGGTTGGTGTATTATTCAAGAGTATAGGAACTCCTATGGTAATAGTCATCATACACACTCACTATCCTTCCTCAATGAAGTGAGATCAAGGGTGGAACCAGGGAGGGGCAAAAGGAGGCTGTAGAGTCCTCCTKTTCATCAAAGAGCAACATAAAACAATGTTACTCATAATGAAAGGAATAACTCCGTATGCTTCATATTAATCAAGTCATTTCAAAAGACATGCCAAATGATTTTCAAGAAAGCAACAAGGAAATTTTTTAAATGGTATAACAAAATTTGGTAAATATTAGTCTGGATTCATCTTTGGAGACATCCAAATTTATATCCATCATTTAATTAACAATTGATGCATACAGTAGCAAAGTTATGATGGGTGTTAAGATATAATTGTTAACAACAGTTATGGTTTGCAACAACAGATTCCAGCACAAAGCATGAGCGAAGCAAAGCGCAATTATGGCATGAAGGACCTCAAAGACTGGACAAAGTACCTGGGCATTCAGTTTRAATGGACCTCACACTTCCCCTTGAAAACTGTTCCTGCATCAAGAATTTGCATTTTTGACGGTGATGATAGACTACGGCAAACTATCTGTAAGTATTCACGATGGCTGTTGGGAAGGAATGGGTTTTAATCATTACACTTGTTATATTGTAGATGAAGCAGCATGGAGAGATAACATGGACATTTCTGACAAAGATGTAGGTCAACAACCTTTTTCTTGATGTTATATTAAAGTGATATAAAGGCTTTCATTATCATGATCAGATCATTTTGGTTGGAWGTTCAATGTTCTGAGCCTTATTCAAGAGTCTTGTTTGCTGCTGTAGTTTTCCTCCACTGAGTTCCATTTGAACTACTATTGCAATATGAATGATATTGATTCTTTTTTGCTTCAGGTTTTAAGGGATGTACTCAACAAGGCCGGTTTCAATGCAGATAGACTCATCCAAGGAACTCAAAGTCAGAATRTCAAAGACAAACTAAGATCAAACACTCAGAGGTAAAAAATCTCACTCTCTGTCACACTATTAGTACTAATCACATTTACAACCAAAAAGGAGGAAAGAGTCACTAGGGTTCCAACTCATGATCATACATCTTTGTTATTTTGTCTGGTATCAAAGATATCTTTTTGGATGTTTTTTTTTGTAGGGCTATTGATAGTGGAGTGTGTGGCGTACCTAGTTATCAAGTCAATGGTGGAGCCATCCTCTGGGGTCAAGACAGACTCAATGTCGTAGCAGACATGATTTGTGGTTGGCAAGACAACCCTGTCACAGAAAATGTGCTGACATCATCCAAGCTTTAAGCATATAATGTATATTCTTCTGAATTTAAAAGAAATGCAAATTGATGTGAAATTCTTAATTAATCAAAAAATTTGTATTGTCATTGATTAATAAATAAATTATTATTAGTCACCCTTTAAAAACTATGAAAGGAAGATATATAAAGCTCAAAACCAGAAGAAAGAATTTCCAAAGTATGTCATTTTCAAGAAAGTTTTTAAAAAAGRGTGGTTAGCGGCTGATTGCTAATCCAGCAAAATATCTATATATTCTAATTTCTAATCATATGAAGAAGTTGCTGATCCCAATATAATTAAATTTTACTGCAAAAAATCCAATAGTAAATGTCTTTTACATTGAGACAATAAAATCCTTTCTGTTTTTGTTGTTCTGCTTGACTTCTCGCTACATTTTGTCCTTACCTCTCCTCTCCAGATGTTTTATGCAGCCCCTCTTATGTGAACTTTCTAAGAAATACTCTTGTCAATAATAATATCAAGTGATTTTGCTTGAAACACCTTTATTATAGGACTAGGAGAGGACTTTTTATAATATTATAACTTATATTTACATTAGTTTGTGTCAATAAATTACATAAATTCATTMCATTAGTGCCTTTAAGAGATGGTATTTTAGGTCTAATCTTGACCRATTTTACCGGGGTTAACGTCCTGTAACATTACTCAAGGAGTTATAAACCCTCCATCGTCTACTGTGGTTTAGCATTTGAAATACAGGTTGATTTTGTCTTGTTGTATTGTGAATATCTTGAATAGGGGGAGGYGTGAGTATTGAGTGATGGTGTAGAGCATGAAGGATGACCTCATAGACGTCGTAACCAATAGCAACAAGAAAGTAAACAGCCACAGGATATGATAGTAGTTGAAGTATTCTTGATATTCKAACAGGTATTCCAAGATGCCTGACAAATAACAAAATTTAACATGATTYTACAATAATTTTATGACTGTATCTTCACTCTAATCCAGATACATACCTATATTTGTGAGCATGTGCTCTATGAAGCATAATGGTGACAACTATCAATGTCTCGAGGTTGATGATTAATGACGTCACTTTCTCCATGACAAYGATAAATGCCTAGAAACACAGCAGTAAATAAAGTTTGCACAATTCATTACAAAGACAAACATTGGTTACTGAGTGTTTGTGGATGAATATTTCATGACAAATTTATGYCATTAGCTTAGATAAGCCTGAACACTGAGGTCAATTGTTTGTCCAAACAACATACATTTTGTTATCTCAATAATAAAACTACAATATACTCAAGGAAAAGAAACACTAACTACAATGATGGTCAATCTTTTGATTTCCAGCAGTACTATACACAACAAACGCACCAACCATCACTGAAGTTAAAATTTGTGCCTTGCATTAGATAAGTTGTAAATATCTATAATTAAGCTAGAGACAACTAGATGTTATATTTATATTATCTATAACATAAATTGRCTTCCTTTGCAGGGTCCTTACCTTAGGGTTAAACATAGCAACAGTGAATACAAAACCAAACACAATTAACAATCCTAATGTTTTGATAAACCTGAAACAAAATTGAACACACATTTCATAGAATATTCTATTAATGTATCCATGGAGTCGACAGCAAACCACGCAATAAGCTTACCTCTTACGGTTGCAATTACAACAACTTTTCTCCTTACTATGGTTCCATTTCTTGTCAGTAAAGAAGGAATCAAACCATCCTTCCACTAGAAATATCAATGGAAACCCATCAATCATCAACTCATTTAACCAATCAGTGAACAAGCACATCAAACAATAGACACTGATATGAAGTAATCCATCAATACCAAATCGATCTAACTGTCAATCAACCTGCCTTAACATTTTATTGACAAAGTCACCAGCTACTTACACATATGTCTGAGTGCTGCACCAAGAGTTAGAAAAGATACAGTTATGCTGATCATTACAAATATTTGAATAAGAAGAGCAATCCAAGTAAATTCTGTGTACTTTGTGTGCAGAATCTGCAGAAAAAAATCAGTGAACAGGGTACAAGAGGTAGCCATGGTGATTAATGTTGTCAAGGTGATACATGTCATTATGATGATAAATGTAGTTGTGGTGACAAATAATATTACTTGTCRTTTCTAATAGAAAGTGAATGCTGCGAGTAGCTATTTCATTTTCACAACGTATAACAGGGTTTTTTTCAAGGGTTTTATTTCAAGCTACCTGCTTCGCGAATTCCAATCTGCAATTGCGAAACTACGAACACATAAAAGAACACTGTCTTCCCTTGAAACGTCATTAAAACATTCATGACCTTGATGAATACTTCCACAAATAAATAAACATGACCTTGACATCTAAAAAGTATTTAAAAAATAATGCAATTCAAACACAAGCCAAACTCGTACAACTGCTGGCCTTGTGTATGGTGTGTTCTGTTAGGRACATCCTTGAATCGACTCTCGTAAGGTATGGACTTGAACYGCTRAYCATATGTACCGTGTGTTCTGTTCTGTGATCCTAGAATCGACACTGTGTTCCGAATAGGAGGCTACTCACTTCACTCGCAGCAATTAAGTGTCATGTTAATTAATGTAGAYAAGGAATAGTATCCAGGAAGTACATATGAAGTGATCCTTATCCCTCCTGTGYTATAAAATCTGATGAATACTCACTCACCTCGGTCAATGGTATTGTTGATATTTTACCATTTGCTTCAGCCCTGTTTGAAAAGATAAAAASAAATATTCAATCTGACCTTATATGCTTACCAATGTCAGAATTTTATGAAGAAAAGTTATTGTTTGTATCAAGATAATTCAATTTGACCAGAGTACTAACCACTGCAATGAGCCATTTCTGGAACAAGATCGTTGCTGGCTTGACAAAGAAAACTTTGATGTGWTATTTGATGAAAGGAGAGTTGACAATGAATTAATTTCACATTCTTTTTGGGGGACCACTTCCAATACAGCATAGCACCTGTATATAACAATACCATGATAAATATGTGTCCAATAGGAACAGGTGTAAAATGAACTCTTACCAAAAGATATTCAGTATCATGCAGGTAGCCAAACCAGTATTGATTGCAAGTCGAAATCGTACAATCTTAAAGTATTTAATACACATGTGTCACAAATATTATTAATAGGCATGCTTTGTGACAAAAACATGTCAACACTTACCTCAAATGCCTGGAGACGAATTTTAGTAAATACCATAGGCATTATGTTCATTATACCACCTGAAACAACAACACATATGTCCTTAGCAACAACCATTAAAAACCTTAGCAACAGCAATATTTTAGCAACAATGTCAATAACATCCTTAGCAACAACATACCTAGAAACAATATCCTTAGCAACAACAGCTATAACATTCCTAGCAATAACACCACAAATAGTAATAAAGTCTATAAATTTAGCCATGAAACCAATAGTAAAAGCAAAACAAACCTATTGCTACAGTCCCTAAAAGAAATGGTTCRCCAGCTGAAAAGAAGTCTTCATTTATCTCTTGTCTCACATAATATCCTACATACATTGCTGCCAGTATCTACATAATAAACAAAAAATATTACAATTGACTAAACTTTTTCCTTGCTATTCTAGACAGAATTCATATTGACTTGATGCAGAGTTAAAACTTTCAAGAGGAAACTCATATACTCACACAAGCAGTAAAAAGACTTCCTTTGCAAAACGTCAGTAAAGAAACAAAAGGAGTCACACAGCYTTCAAGGAATATGACAATAAAGGAACAGATCCATGTAAAAACAGGAATTACATACAGCAATCTAATTAACAGAAAACACAACKTTAAACTCASTTTTTGGACAGATTTTAATCCAGAATGGTAGCATTTTCTATTTTTAACCCCGATTCTCCATAGAGATATAAAATTTCAAAATTTTAAAATTTGCTTATCATATTAGAGAAAATGTAATAAAAGCAGATATTTAAAAACTGCCATGAATAATTATGAATTAAAGACACAGTTTTCTKGTGACTTTGATGCCAGTCACTGAATCAACTAAGTATACTCAAAGTGGCTCATTAATAAAGTGACACTCACTCAAAATGWCCCAGTTGTGCAAATGCTTGACTACCTGCCAGAGAGTAACTTATCAAACATGAAACACTGAAAAACAATAGAATATATAATGTTATTATGTATGTAACTATCCCAGAAATACTATTACTTCTCAAAATGAAAATTAATTTTAAAACATAATTTTCTTTAATTAAAAATAATTATTATATGATAAATATATTAGATAGTTAGGTGAGAGATCTTTTAAAAATAAAATATGTATCTCCACACGCCAATGTACTATCCTCTACAATATACTGTCAATGTTAACCATCTCAATATTATACATGTATAGTTTACAACATGAGCGGCCGTGTTGTATGGGAATTACAATCTCGAGCCGCAGGCGAGAGATTGTAATTCCCATACAACACGGACGCGAATGTTGTAAACGACTTATAAAACTCCAACACAAATTAACATGAATTACAGTGAGATAAATGACGAAAAATGACATATAAGGTAACTGCTGAGTTTAGTCCCTATTAAGCATGCGCAATTTACTGCAACACAGAACATTTTGAATAATTATCCATCCCACATGGAAAGCAAGCCATCTGTTGCATAAGCGAGTTCTGTTATCCGTCTTTGATTGCTTCAAAACCTAGTGAAGGTCTATGATGCGACACTAAAACTGAGACCTTTGCTAGTGTTGGGTTGTCTCAATGGTGACGACCGTGTTGTAAATCTGATACAACCACTAGTGGTTGTATCAGATTTACAAGGTCAATCACCTGATTAAATGGTCAGCCCTTATTGGAGCAATAGCTTATGCATTATTAATAAGTTTTATAAGATCATTAATTAAATGATCATTAATTTGTCATTAACATCAAATACCACCTTTATCACCATGCATAATCAGAAATCATGCACATTACTTACARCACTAATACAATTGCCAAATCAAAGATCTGCTGAAGGCCTGSTCCAAGGAAAAGTTCAGCTAAAGAATGCAAGCTGGGATAATACTTAAGAGAAGTGATGTCTTCACTGACATTGTATGTTACATGTATACTACCTAGGAAATCAATCAATAATTATTAACATACAATTTTCAGATATTGTGAATATAAAAGTTATCTATAGGCTAGTCAATGTGTTACAAAATGATATCACTTTGTACCTGGTCGGTTWATCTCTACTTCTTTGTCTTGTTCATCAGTTGAGTCTAAATCTTCTGTGACAACATTCAATGGTTCGCCTTCACAAGATGACAGCTTAA